ATTCACAAACCAATTCAACACAAGCAACCGACTATTCTAATTATTATTATGGATATTCAGGATATCCAGCTACTACTACTGCTGCTGCTACAGGATATCAAGCCAATACTGCAGCATATCCTACACAAACAACAGCAACAGCAGCAGCAACAGCAACAACAGCAGCAGCCACCGCAACTACATCACCAACAACTGTAAGCTCTGCGGCAACTACATCACCTTATTCAACTGCTACTGCCACCACTGCCATTGGTACAGCAAATACTTCATCATCATCAGCTTACAATGCTAACGCAACAAGTTCTGCTGCATCTACATCATCATCTTCATATGAAGATAAAAAACAACCTACATCTTATCATGCAGTTCCACCACCAGACTTCTTATGAAAATGAGGTTAGTAAATATCGGTGAAGTTTTATTTAAAATTTCTTTTTTTATTTTTTTTTTTAAATAAAATTTTATAATATATATATATTTAAATAGTAAAATTAATTTTATTTTCTAACAAAGTGAAACAATATATATTTGTGTAAAAACGGTGCGCAATTGCGCACACTACTTACATAAAAGTTTTATTTTTCTTTAACTCCAAACTTATAAATTACAAAAATTATTTAGAGGCGAATCATTATTGGGATATTTAAAAACTTGAAATTTTCTTTAGCAACTAAAGCATATCTAAGAAGAAACAAAGTGAATAAGAAGATATATATATATATATATTAATTGATCGTTGTTTGATATCTCTCTTTCACTCTGGCTCGACCATATTCGTATAAATTTTTTCTTTTCAGTTATATATATTATATTATAATTCTGTTGTATTTTGTTATAAAATCAAAGAGGAAAAAAACTAAAAATTTCTTTAACAATTTAAGTTTAGACATAAAGCAAAAATTGAAGCTAGATAACACATCCTGATTAATAAATGTCATCATTAAAATAGTTATATATATATTTCAATAAATAATAATAATAATTCACAAGGCTAGTCTTCTTTATTTGGTGATATAATAATATTCTCAATATATTGCATAAAAAATTTAATTGTTTTTTTTTATTAATTTTAGATAAATAAAAAAGATTTATTACTATTTATTATTTTTATTTATTTTTTTTTTTAAAAAAACGGACTAATATTGATTAATGTTTATAAATAGCTATTCAAAACTTGGATTTTTTATCATCAATATTATAATTTATTTGGAATGAATCGATTGGTTAGTGGTCGAATGTAGTCATTTTATCACTAGATTGTATGAAACAAAAAATATCTAATAAAATATTAAAGATAAATTTATTATATATCCTTGTATATATGTTTGTCAAATTGGTTTTTATTTATATAATATTTGATTCAAAATAATAACAATTTCTCGCTGGGCCCCGAAATCAACCGAATTAATGGTCGATCAAAATGATATTATTAATAAAAAATAGATGATCCGTAGTAGTGGAAGTAAACATAAGATGTTTTCATTTATTCATTTCATTTACTTTTATACAATTTTGGAAATTTTATTAAAGTCAGTGACAAAATTAAACCCTGAATTTTCGAGTTGAATTTGATCAATTTTGGTGTTGGCGTAACTGAATTTTTTATCCCTAATAATAACAACAAGTAAATCAAAGTAAATCAACAGATCTTTCTTTATATTATTAATGGTACTTTTGAAATCTATTATTTTTGGCTAAATGTTTGTCGTACCTTGATTTTTTACGCCAAATATTCTTTCTTCTTTTCACCC